TTTTAAAACTCTCATCCCCGTGTGCCGGCGCTCCGGAGCGGGACACCGGGACCGAGGTGCCCGCTGCCATCCCCGGCCGCCCATCATTCACAGCCCTGGCTGCCCTCAGTCAGTTGTGGGGAGGGATGGAGCCCTTTGATTCTGGCTTAAAATGAGCTTTCAGATTTCCTCGTATTTTTCTTATAAATACAAAAAAAAAAAGTGTACTTCCTGCCAATATGTGATGTTTAGGGTCAGTATTTACTAGTAGTCAGAGCCCTGATATCTCCGAGGAATTAAACAAAGAGGTAAGAGCTTGCAGTGGGAATTACGACGCCTGCCAAAGGAAATGTGTAGGGCAACTTCAGTGAAAGTTGGAAAACAGCATAAACATGCAAATGTGAGAATGAAATTGGGACCAGGCTATCAGCTATACTATTCTTTCTAACCTTGATTTCTGCTGTGTTGTGCCCTGTCCTCTCTGTGCTCTTATCACAGTATCCAGGCTATCCATCTGTAATCACTTATACTCTGAGCACTGTTTTAGAATGGCATTTATTTATTTGCTTATTGTCCATTGTGGAAATAATAGACTCAGGTAATTTTTTTTCCCCTCTCAAAATGTCTGTTTGGAAACCTAACTCACAGTTTCTGAAAGGTCTGATGACATTTAAGCAACTTTGAAAGTTTTAATGAAGGGTTCATAAGTCACCTTGGAAATTAGACCTACTGCTGCATATACAAGTGAGACTTCGCTGTCATGGTGCTGTTTTGCCTTTGGGTGTGTTTTTTTAACCATGGGGTTCAGAGCCTGAGTTAGATGTCTGATATCTTCTGCGTTAGACATTGCAGATATGGTTACCAGAAGTCAGCATTTTGAATAAGCGTTGATGGCATCTGTAGATATGTTCCCTGGATATTTATAGCTGATGTTCTAAGGAGATGCTCTAGCAAATTCAAGTGTGGGGACTTACCAGCTGCTGCTGTTGAAGTTACTTTCCTTCATGATTAAACATTCATAGCTTAGAACCTTGTTATCTGAATCTCCCAAATAGACATCCATTCCATTCTTTCTCTCTTATCCTGTGAATAGTCACACATTTTAAGTGAAGCTTAACAACATTAGCAAGAGAGGTTGAAGAAGACCTCAGACTGTCCTACAAACTTAGGGTTAGGGTGCTTCCCTAGGAGGCCTGAGCCCTGCCCAGCTGAGGAGATAAGCACCAGAGTCTGCAGTGACCAGGCAGTTTGCGCTTACCTCTGATCTACAAAAGAGGGTTTCTCTGTCTTTGAGAGATGGCTGTGATGGAGAGCCCAGTAGAACTAAACACCCACTTAGATTGGATCCTGTCACAGGGAGAATATACCATGATATGAGCAGTAAGTATAAGCTCAGCAGCAACTCTTGAACTGCTGTGGGACCAGGTCCAGCAGGAGCAGAGGTACCTGCGAGCATTGGACCCGCTGGGTGAGGAAGCAATGAACGGAGGTTTGTGGATGTTAGTAGCACTACAGCAGAGGATGCGTGCACCTAAAAGGAGTACTTACATCTCCTTGGGAAGATAGCTTTAAGGCATATTTCAAAGTCTTCACCCAGTTCCTAGCATTTTACATAGAATGCATTGTTAGCTAAGTAAGCTTTCTGAGGCAGGGACTGTTTGGGTTTTGTTGGGTATTTTTTATCAAAGTTGTTTCCAAGTGCAAAGGTTCTTTAAATCCAGATGAGGACTTTTTCTCCTATCCAAATTAATGATTTCTGTTAATTGTTATGTGTTTCATACTACAAATGTGCAGTCAGTTTTTCCAGCATGTATTTATCGTGGAGAATAAGAATAACTCTGTTCCATGAAGTGTCTGGCTCATTGAACCCTTGCAGTATGATGTGCTAAGTTTTGTTGTTGAGGATGTTTTCTTGGGGAATGCAATGTGTTTCTCCAGGTACCTGTTCAGGTAACATTGTACCCAAAACATTATGAGTCTTACTAATGTGTTGTGCAAAGAAAGAATGAAAGAAAAGAAAAATATCAATATGGAACCAAAAAAACCCCAACAAACTGAAGCAGGACAAAAGACTTTCAGGTTGGTTGGCTTGTAAAATGTAGCAACTGGTTTCATAGTTCTGCCTTTAGTGTTTCTTTCAATAGCATCTCTGTAATTTTCTTTTTCTGCAAAGCAATTCAATTTTGAACACATTTGCAAAAAAATGCACTATTTTAGTAGCTGACCAGAATTTTACAGTATTATCTTGTAAGGCTTTGTCTATTTTTCTGTTTCTTTTCTAAATGTTGGGCCAGGCTCAGTAGTACCATTATCCTGGTAATATCTTCATTTGAATTAATGCAAATTGTGCATATTACTAGATATGGTGAATGAGGGCTTGGGCCAGTTCTGAGTAGGAGATTTGCGTGCCAAATGTTGATTGAGGGAAAGGGACGTGGAAAAACCCAAAGAGATTTTCACAATTGGTAGCTCAGTTATAGTTTTTGTCTGACTTACGCCAAGTACTGGACACAGGCAGTGTAGAAAGTCATTGCTGCTTTTCTTTACTCAGTATCTTTTGAGTAAGTTCCTGTTGGTGCTGAGCAATTTCAAAGCAAATGTTACGGTGTCAGTTCTCTCTTTTCTTCCTGTTATCCCTTCATCTGCGTTTTACTTTTGCTGAAAGAAATACACTCACAAGTATTTCCAGAAGGGAAATACAGGGTTTTTTCCACTTAGAGCTTTGTGCTTATAGAAAGAGGGGTTGTCTGTGTTGTCCTTTTTGCAATATTAGGCTAGTCAGTAGGAATCTCTCCTGAAAAAGAGAGAGCATAGCTTTTGCATGAGATTAAATTCCTTGAACAGGATGCTATGGGAGTTTGGACAGTCCATTAGTCTTTATTAATTCTGTTCTCACTCTGAACTCAAACTACATAAAAACTCCTAGCATCTCTGTCTCACCATGCAGTCATCAGGCTTGCCATATGATTACCAGGAGACCTCGTACAACAAATGCCTAGAAACCTTGAGCAACCAACTATCAATTCTTACCTGGACCTTGTACCATCTTTGTAACCTGCCACACCTTTACTACATTAGCAAAATTGTCATCTCAGGTGAGCCCATGGCATCACTGGTTTGGAGGCAGCGAAAACTGGTAAGACATCAGTAGGGAACTCTCAATTTCAGAAGTGCCTTTAAAATGAGAACTGTGATGGTCAATAAAAAGATTAAAAACTTTTAGGAACATTTAGGCTAATTGGATGTCCTTTTTGCATTACATCAACAGTGACTTGTGGAATGATTTTAGGGCTCTTGTAATACTAGCAAAGAGACTGTTACCAGAGGAATGAGTTTCTTCCAAAGATTGGCTGTCAATGTGACATTTCTCTCAACTCTTTGGATCTGATTCACATTGCTCTTTAAATTAAATTTGGGGGGGGGGGAAGTGTGTGTGTGTGTATATATATGTCTGTGTATATATATAGGTGTGACATTATAAGAACTGTATACTAATCACTTGGCAGCAATGGGTTTTCGTGAGGACTTGAGCTAAAAATTATGCAGCATGTTTACCTTATCCAAACAGTGTCTTTGGTCACCTTACTCTTCCTCTGTACACGACTAGGTCTGGAACTGGAAATGAGTAAGAAGATGGAGCATAAAAATCCCAAGTAGCTGAATACAAAGGAAATCTGATCCAGATGCAGTTTATCATTTACTTCTGTAGGTTATTGCATTAGTATTTACATGTCTAAATTCCCTTTATAGTGATGAACACAAATGGGTAATAATTCACATATGTTTGTGGATTCCTTTGGACTCTCTCTCTGCAAGGTGGCTACTTCCAGCTCCTGACTGTCAAATGCAACAAGATCACGGTAAAATTGAAAGAGAGAATTCATTTTGTGTTGTGATTGCATAAAAATGTGCACAAGCAGGAAGTGGCTGAGTTTGAGACACATGGTATGGCAGCCTGTGACAAAGGACTCTTCTGCAAAGTGCCGTCTGGTCCTGGAAAGACATATGAAATTGCAGAAGTACTGACTCAGTGTGAAACCCGAGCCTGGTAAAGTTTATTGACCCTGTTTTTACTGAGAAAACCAGGAATTGCAGGGAAAATAAGATGAAATAGAAATTAAGTGCTGCCTATTTCTGGAAAGATTTGAAGCATGTTGAGCATTGAGCATGTTATTCACATTTTCTAGCCATCATCCAGAATTCTTTGTGCTGATTGTGCTATTTCTTTTCTGCTATGGAGATGCAAGGAAAAGTAGCAAGCATCGGTTTAATATCATAGAGTCATAGAATGGTTTGGGTTGGAAGGGACCTTCTAACCCCCCTGTCAAGGGCAGGGACATCCTCCACTAGACCAGGTTGCTAAAAAAAAAAAAAAAAAAAAAAAAGTTGGTTGAAATCTCAGCTCTGTGATTTTTCATCTCTCAGCTCACATGCTAGCAGGCAGATGCTGTCATCCCAAGCTTGCCAAGGACTGCCATGCTATTTGTGAAGCTGTTTGTTACCACCTGGTGTGTACGGGTGTTATATTGACATAAACATTGCACATTTTTATTTAAGACATGATGGGGCTTCCTTTTTAAAAGAAGCAGTTCAATGTCTTTTGCTTTAATAAGCATGGGGAGAATATAGCTCAGACTAAGATTAGTCTGTTAAGTCTCAGCAAATCAAACTAAGCACCATCCATGCCCATTTTAAGTATTGAGGCCTAAAATTAAATTAGGCTGCGTATTACAAGAAATTCCAATATCCTTGTTAGTATGAAAGAGCCTCATATGAGTTGCAGTATAGCAATCGTGGCCTGACAGTTGCAAAGTTGAAGAACATCTTTGGGAAAGACAGGCAAGGACAATGTTTCATTCTCTGCAGGATGGACTTCAAAGCCTAAAGGGTTTTTTATTTTTCTCTGGCTTCTATGAATCTATTAGATGTGACAAACTTTATGAAAGCTGGTATTTTTATATAATGGATTATGAGAGAACTGAGATATGGCATGCCAAACTTTGGTGGACAGATAGATATCTTTATCCCAAAATGATCATCACAGCTGGTAATTCATGCATAGTTCATAGAAAAGGGTACTTTGCATCAATAATGTGGGAAACTTGGGTTAAAATGGGAGAAAAAGGGATGCCAAGAGATCCTTCTTATGTGTGTTCTTCCAATCCTGTAGGTGCAAGTTGCTATGAGTCTTTTTTTTTTTTTTTTTTTTTTTTTATTTAGTCTTTCCTCATTTTTCAGTTTTGGTCCTTATGTGAATTAGCCTTTCCCTAGCAAGTAAGACAGTAACAGTGGGCATATATCAAATGTATCAAATGCCTGGGGAAGGCTAAGAAAGTGCTCCTGAAAAGAACAAGCAGAGTGTGGTGTTTAGGTCAGGAGCCAAATGACAAAGCTCACACAGGCAGGTGAGTTTCTACAGGCACTGCATCAATGTGCTGCAGTGCCTCATCCTTTTGACATCAGCAGCTGGTTGATTTCTAAGATTCTTGACTGTGTTGAGAAAAAACGTAAGAGAATGAATCTACTTGTAACCACACGAAGCTTAGCAGGATCATCTGAGCAGAGCAGGCTTTGGCTGTGGTTGCCATTCAGCTTTGTTACGATGAGCACTTGGCTACTCCCGTTTGCCCTGAGCTGTTTACACTCTTGGAAAGTGAGAGTCAATTCCTGTTCCTGAATGGCCTAGCACCACATGGCGTCTTACTGGTCATATTTGAAACGAATACTCATTTCTTCCTATGCTGGTATTGCCTAGTAGTGCAAGCGCCACCAGAACTGTCATTTGCTGGGTGCTGTCCCCACATGCAGTAACAGACTGCATGCATCCCTGAGAAGCTAGCCCCATGAGGGAACTGAAGGACCCATCTCTGGGATAAGTGTTCACTGTCCTAAATCTGTTAGGCAATTTAGCAAGGCACTTAAGTCAGCATTCATAACAGCTGTTGAGCTGAGTGGGGGGTGCTTAGCATGAGCAAGAAGTGCTGAGGGGAGCACCATGTTCACAACTGTCCTTCTCCCAGGCCTGGCCATGTAACTACGGCACTGAAAGCAGTGTTGTGGGAGAGGCGATTTACACAGTGAACCAGTGCCTGACCTTGGTGGCCAAAGTCATCATCTTGTGTCTAGGTGACTAGTTCCCTGTAGCCTTCATACCTCAGTAGCTAGACCACTTAACAGCTAAAGTTTGCTGTTACATGTGCTCACAGATATACTCATCCTAGTGGGCCAAGCAGCTCCACATCCATTTCAAGCCATCTGATGGTGAAGCCCTGAGAGTCCAAACCATACATGTGGGCTGAGAACAGAACACATGGAAGAAATGCTGATGTTGGTAATCAAAGCCATTGTAATTCAAAGGGAAGGAGAATAAATTACTCACTGCTACTTCTTTTGTAGCCCTGCTGGAGCAGTCATCAAGAAAGGTAAAGAATGGTATTCAGTTCCTTCCTCAGCCTGACCACATTCAGAGCTGCAGCCCTTGCACCTCAGCAACGTGTGGTGTAGGGGCGGCACCAGGACTGGTCTGCTCCTCACCTGGATCATTGCATGGTCAATAACTCAAGGTTTCAGGGGTCTGTCCCCATAGGCCACTGATGAGAGCACTCCTGAAGGAGCAGGTATAGGGGGTCCTAGACTTCAGTACTAGCTCAGTGTAACGACCCTGTGACCAGACACTTAGCATGGGAAATGACGAAACAGACTAGCTACTGTACAAGTCTGGGCTGAGGTCCCTCCACATTGCAGGAGTCAGGCCTTTGAGTTAACTCCAAACTGAGGAAGGAGCTAAACCATGTTTCCACATGCTGGCTTGTTCTCTGTGAAAGATGAAGTGCCTCCAGAGCTAGACGGGGTTCTTGTGAAACTTGTTTTCAGTTAGCTACTTAAATTTCTTTGTACATCTGAGCCATACAAACATAAAATGTATTATTGTCCAAATCTGAACTGTACAAATATAAAATGTACCATTGTCCTCATGTTAAAAATGGAGAACTGAAGAGAACCAGCCACAGGAAGCACAAGACAAAGAAGATTTAGATGATCTGGATACTGTCCTTAGTCAGCACATATGACTAATACACACAGGTCTTTAGATTCCTAATCCAATGTGTAAATCTCATGATCATTTTTCCATTCCAGTGATGTGCCCTGGCAATGCCTCTTTCAGCTATTGCTAGGAGAGCAGTAAAAGGTTTCATGGTCTGCACGTTTTTCTCAGACTTGCAAACATTTCAAAGAGTAATAATTTTTAGGTTGCTGTCCTGGTTCTGGCTAGGATAATTTTCACAAGGAGCCAGGACAGATGAGCCAAGCTGGCCAGGGGCTATTCCATACCATGTGACGTCATGCTCACCACAAAAGGGGGCTAGTCGGGGAGGGGCGGGTTCCCTGTGGCTCCTGGACAGTCTGAGCATCAGATTGGTCGGTCGGTCACCGGATCGGTAAATTGCTTTCTGTTATCACCCATTGTGAATACCTGTTATCAGCCTGTTGTTGTTGTTTCCCTCTCCCTTGCCCTCTCCTTACCCCAACCCGCCAGGCTTTGCCTTTGGTTTTCCCATTCTCCTCCCCATCCCGCCGGGGGAGGGGTGAGCGAGCGGCACGTGGTGCTCAGCTGCCGGCTGGGGCTGAACCATGTCAGTTGCATAAAAAAAGAATTTCTCCATTTTTGGAGTGTTTTGCATGTTCTTATTTGTTTTTTTATTCGTCTTTCTGTTACATTGCAGTCCAGTAATAGGTCTTTCTGGAAAGAAGCTGGAAAATTCTGTTGTACCCGTGCCATATCAGGAAAGGCCAGATACGCTTGTGTAGCGCTGGTTGTGCTTCCTGTATGTGCAGTGGATCAATGACTGTATTCTGCTCTGTAGGTTGACTCCTATGATGTGACTGTGGAAGAAGACCTTGGAGAAATTCAGCTAATAAAAATTGAGAAACGAAAATATTGGTACCAGGATGACTGGTACCTTAAGTATGTCACTGTAAAAACACCAATGGGTGACTATTTGGAGTTCCCATGTTACCGTTGGATTACAGATGAAAAAGAGGTTGTCCTTCGAGATGGAAGAGGTGAGAGCCACTAGATACCTGGTTTCCTGCAGAACATCCAGAATTCTTCCACCTCTCCTTCCCTTTTCCCCATATATCTCTCAATCCTTCCAACAAGGAGACCCACTGCCACTCCCCTTCTGCATCCTAGGGAATGGGCTTTCCCTGCTGACTTGGACTGCTTTCGGAGCAGTTTGTTGGGCTGGGCACTGGCAGTTGAGTTGGGATATTTTGGTAGGCACATGCAAGGAAGACTCCTTACACTTGTTACACTGGTCTTGAATTTGAAGGCTGACCTAATGCCAAATTTTTGTCTGCTGTAAGCCCTTTTAATCTAATTAGTATTAGTGTCCCATCTTTGTTTCATAGTAAGCCCCTAAGTGGCCCAGGCTTAGTTGCCTGTGAAATGTCTTGTTTTCTTGAGAGTGAAATAAAATCCCAAAGCAGGCTGCTCAGCAGGTGCAAGGACTGGCTTGAAACAGCAGCTTCACTTTTCACCCCTTCTCTTTGCATGCTCTCAAGTCCAGGAGAAGGCAGGGTGAGATAGATATGACTGCTTCAACTAGTGGTGACCAACTGAGAAAAATGTTACAGTACTTCTGTGCTCTGTTCAGAGTGGCCTATTGGACCTGAAAGTTGTGTTTTAACTGTCTCTGACTACCTGCCTGCTGTGATCAGGGTTGGGGCAGACATGTCACTGATGTTTGCTTGTTCCCCTCTGTGCTTCCTAGGGTAGGTTGGCTGCTGTAGTGGTCTGCAGCATGAGTGCCTGAAAACAGCTGAAACAATGTATGAAGTGGTAGGAAATAAATGTTTATCTTTCCATTAAGTTTTTGGCTACTCCTGGCTGAGGAATTTTGCATTTGAAGCCTTTTGTCCTGTAATCACAACTATGTGTCGGTTTATTTGGTCTCCAGAGGAACTTTCAATTTTTCATAATTTGATTTATAACAGCTGCAAAACTTCCATGGAAAGCAGCTTTGTGTGGCTTTCAGAGTAAGGACAAAAGCAAATGAAACCCTATTGGTAACTTGAACACAACCAGCTGGAAACTGTTAGCTATTTATGTTATCAGTCATATTACCTCTGATATTTCCAACTCCAAACCCCAAACAGCTATTTCCATGAAACTCCTGCTGGCTTAATCTGCCTTCCCATTTGTGTATGTAAAGTGAGTCACGTACCTTGCCTGTTCTCTGATCACTAAGGCAGTTTCTGTGTTATTTAATTGTATAGTGAATACATGGTCAGAAGAGCAAGCTGTCTGGAAATGAAGCCTCACTGTTTTTTCTTTCTATTCTCATGATAAGAATATATGATTAATATCCCAAGATGACAGGGGAGAGCACAGCTCAAGGAGAGAGGATAGGAGGTGTTTCCTGGAGATGTCTTTTAGCAAAGAAGATTAGCTGGAACAATGTTGTGATATCTTATTGATGAAAATTCCATTAGATACTGAAATGTAAAATTAATTCCCCTGACCCCATTCAGACCCTTTAACACTAGATATGTACGGCAAGTGTCTACACATGTGGGTTTTATATACAGTGGAGACATATGTTCCTAGCTTGAGCTAATCGACCCTTGGAGGCACCAAGTTAGGAGCTTCTCTCCTTCCACAGATTCTCTAGGGACCTGTGTTTCTACTTGAGGTACTAAATTGGATCATGTAAGCATTTCCCACAGAAACTCTGTAAAGGCATAGATCAGAATTTTGAAGGTTTGGAAACTTTGTTCTCCTTCTCAAGACCTGGGTAGTGATAGGTAGAGGAACCTCATAACCCTGTCTCTTTCCTCTGTTTCACAGCAAAGCTTCCCCGGGATGACAAGACCCAGATTCTCAAGCAGCACAGACGCAAAGAGCTTGAGATCCGTCAAAAAACATACCGGTGAGTTTCCCATAGCTCCCCAGAAGGTTGAGGGCCTGTTCTCATCAGGTCAGAGTTTGGCAGAGTATGTTCAGATTATCATATTGCTCTAATTACTGGACTGCTGGATAAGAGAAAGCGTAAGTGACCATGTTGGCCATGTATTTTTTTTTACTTAGATGGAATTCACTGTAAGTGATGATCATCCTGGTGCTAGTGTTATTACGAGATACTTGAATCCCAGATGAGCCTATCTGGAAGGCTGAAGTGGGAATTCAGTGCTACAATCTCTGTGTGGGCCCACTGGCACACGGTTGTGTTTTCAAGGAAGATACGAAGGCAGATTTCATTTGCCTTTTACAAGCTTTACTCCAGTTTTGGAACATGATCTGAACATGTCGGCTCTTAGCAGAGCTTTTTAGCTGCTTCAGCATTGTTTCCTGCACTGGGGTGTAGTGGAAGATCTGTCCCTCTTTGAGTGGACTGGAACGTGCTATTAAAACACTGTTGTGATACCCACCTTTATACTGTCATAGACATTTTTTCCTAACAGAAGTCACAATGGGAAAGTGCTATCTTTTATCACTGGCTAACTCCAGAAGGCAATAGACATTTCCTTTTCCTAGAGACACATTATCTGTTAAAATAACAAAAGTTTCTTGCACTTGCATCTCCTTATCAGAAGAGTAAGGATCAGAAGGACAGAGGGGCCATTCAGAATTGATGGATTGAAGCTTGGTGTATGTGTGGTTGATATCATTTGACTAAGAAAGTATCTTGCTTACAAATTATGGGAAACAGAGCAGAAGAAAATATAGTTCAAAACAAGGTGTGGCACAAAATTTTACTTACCTATGCAAAAGGAAGGCAAAACCATTTATAATTCTAGGGAAATAGCTATTTACGATTTGGATGCATAACTGATAACACACAATGCAGTCTGTGTATGGCAGGCAATTTGGAAATACATCGAAACAGTATTCATTACAAATCTCCTTCTTTTGTTTTGAAGTAAAAAGGGGCAGAGTGCAAGAACATACATGGCAGAGAATATGTGCCATGACCATTAGGAGGTAAGGCTCTTCTGAGGACCTGAATCAAGACTATCTGTGTCTCTTGGCGAGTTGCCTTTTGGAGGAGCCTAACTACATGTCTGAGTACTTTTAGCTGCTCTATCTCAGTTCTGCAAAAATGTAGCCCCAAGAATGAGTGCTCATTGGGCAGCTGTCTGTGGCTCTGTGCTTTCCTCTCCCAATACATTGGAAGTTACTGCCAATTTCAACCAAATGAGATAAGTGTTTGGAAATGTCACAGATATTAAGTTACTTCAAGTTTTGTGAAGGTAGGTGGCCAAGTAGATGCCTTCCACTGTATTTCAGGATTCTGTAGGTTACTGGTAGGTATTGATGTGGTATAAGTTACTATTTTTGGCCCAAATGAGTTGGCTGCAAATTTATTTTATAGAGTTGAGCCACAGAAGCTGTGTAGGTAAAGGAATGACACAGGTCTTGTGCTGGTAGGGTTATATGATTAATCCAACCTCTCTTGTTTTCTCAGCTGGAAGGAGTGGCATCCAGGCTTTCCCCTGAGCATCGATGCCCATTCTCACAGTGATCTGCCTCGTGACATCCAGTTTGACAATGAGAAAGGAATTGACTTCATTCTGAACTACTCTAAAGCGTAAGTGTTTGTGTAACTTTAGGAGTTTTGCAAAATCTCTTTTGGGGCAGGGTAAGGATCTAATCACCTTTTAGGTTTCATCGAAATCTCAAAATTTGATTCTTTTCTCCCAGAGGGATTTGCAGTCAGTCAAAGTAGGAAAGAATTGAAGGTTTGGGGTTTTTGACTATCGATATTTTAAGCTTTTCACAGTGGGAACTGACTGAGCCTCTGCATTCTTATTAGACGCTGTTTTGGCTGTGGACGGGTAGAGGAGGCACTGGTGAAAAGCATAGGAAGAGCTACTGGCACCTGATACTTTAGGCTTTTGACTTAGTTCTCAGGGTCGCCCCCTAGAGATACCTCTCTCCCCTGTTTGCAATAATTAAGCATTTCGGCCACATACCAAAAGAAGATGGTATCAATGCACCCTTGAGACTCTGCTGAAGAAAAGCTGTTCTGGGCAGCTCATCAATTAACCACATCTAAGTGTAATCTGCCTGGGGCAACAAAGTCACTGTCCACCCACTTGCACACGTCATGTCATTGAAAAAAACCCAGAGTCTTGGCCATTGGATGAATGTGAATAATCAGTCCTGCAGAGCTCTTTGAAATAGTACAAGGTTAATGAGCCAAATAGGACCTCTCTGGCCTGAGTCCCCTTCTGAGCTGTCTCACATGACCAAGTCATATCATATTATCTCAGACATCCCATCATACTGTGAGATGGTGAATAGTCTGAGATGAGACGAGACTGGTCTAAGATCACCCACAATTTCTACATCTGTGATTCTGTTAATATGCTGGTCTCTTCATATTTGGGAAAGGTGTTCCTCCTGTTATTTGGGTGATCAAATGGAGATTATGTCATCAAGCACAGGTTGGCAAGAGCTAGGGAATTTAATAGCCATACCGAGAAACTTGCAGCTTCTAATAAGAGTGAACACTTGCTTATCTGAGTTCATCTGGGGAATTGATGGTGACTGAAACCTTACATGTCAGACCATTCTTGGTGTTACATTTATGCACCTGAATTTCACTACCAACACAGAGACAAATCCCATGGCTTGTTCTGAGAGAATCTACCTGCTTGTTTTATAATTTGGAAAATTGGAAACTTCAAAGAACACATTTTTTTTTCTCATTGTAGTAGCTCTGCTGTAGATTTCTCCCTTCCTCCTCTCTCCCCCACACTAGGATCTGCTTTTCTCAATGGAATGATGCTTTGTAACATCAGCAAATCTTTTTTCTTTTTTTTTTTTTTAGCAGAATAAATCTCTAGCAGGTGTGAACGGGGTGATGGGTGTGTTTCTGCAGTGCATATGGACAGGTGGACCTAGATCTTTCAGAGCTAATTGCAATAAGGCAGCTGAATAGCTTTGAAGACCAGGGTCTCTAGCTTTCTATTTCATGCAAACTAGGATGTTAGGAGAATGATGGAACAGTGCACTTGTAGCTTTTAAATGCAATACTAGCTGTTATACTGGAGAAGTGGCTGTGGGGTCACACAAAGAGTTATATTAATGGTACAAAAGACAGACAGATGCTTCCTACCCCCCGAGCTTGCTTACATGTATTGCCTCAAGTTTATATCTATGTTTAGACTTCCAAAAAACCAAATCTCTCATCTTTAATATGAGCCAGAAGTTGAGGGCCCTTCTCATCTTATGAAATATCTTATTCCTCAAGCAGCTCATTAGTATTCCGTGGATTCTTAAAGCTTTAAGAAGTTTTAAAGAATCTGGGGCCCTGACCATAGGTCCTTGGAAAACCCTAGACTCAGATGTTCCTCTTCCACAGACAGGTATTAGAACCCATACCTGCAAGAAAAATAAGTCAAGGAAACTGTGGAAATTTACATCGTGTTATTTAAAAGGCGAGTCAATTTTTTTATAAGGCCAGAAAAGATCGGTTTTGATCTGTAGTCAAGACTTTAATACAATGCATGCTAGATTACCACAGCCAGTCTCTAATTCTTAGTTTATCTTCTGTCTGTGTGCAAACTGATAAATTACCAATTTGAATTTATCAAATTTGATAATTTCACTTTTTTTACCTCCCAGAAAGTGCTGGGAGGAGACCCCATGCATATCTCTGAAGTGGTCTGAGATTTAATCAGGTGGGACAACAGTACAATCTGTTCACCACGGAACAGAGCCAGGGCTGAGACCATCTGGAAGAAGGGAAAAACTCACCATCATTGTTATGTTGTGCTGTTGTGAATAAACCTGTGGCAAAACCACAAAGAGGTTCCAAGCAAGGGAAGAAAGCAAACAGTGTGCAGCTCTTCTCTTGGCCCGGCTTCAGGAAACAGTCTAGCTCAGAAAAGGCAAGGAATAACTCTCTTAAAGGAAGGAGAGAGGTGTGAAAATACACAAACCCTGTGCAAAGTTACTGGGATCTTCTCTTGTTACATTAGCAATGGCATGGTATTCCAAACTTTTACAAATCCTGTGTTTTCCAAGAGCTGTTGCTTCTAGCATGGTGTTAGCTGGTGCAAAACAGCCATTTCCCAGCTCATTTAGGAGATCTGAGTGATGCAGGAGCAACAGCATCTGAAAGCCAGAGATGACCGGTTTGCCATTAGAAGGCATATGCAATTTGGAGGCTACATACCCCTTCTAGCAATCTCATCTTGCCATTCTGTAGCGTATTGTGAGAGATCCTGAGTTGCAACCAAGCAAAACTTGCAAACAATTCAACAGAGTGCAGGGGCATCTATTTTTGTCATTGGCTGTAAGAGCACCTTCCCACGAAGTAGGAAGTAGGGAATACTTCCCATGAAGTAGGGAAGTATTTATTGCAGATAGGCAGACATTCTGGAGAACTGGTATGACACAAAAGCAATTTTTCCAAGGAACAGCATAACTTCTTGCCTGGCACATTTGGCTGAAAATCTAGACCTATGCTTTTGGCTGGGTGGACTGTGAAAAGCTTTGGAGAATGAGTTTGATAGCCCTTATCTAGCTACCCTGTTGTGCTTTGGGAACTTGGCACAACTATCTGCATGCATGGAGTGGAGATACATGGGGGAAGGCATGGGGTCTTCCTTCACTTTGAGCGCAGTACGAAGGAGGATAGGGAGGTGTGTCTGGAAATCCAAGGGCAGGTGTAGAGTTGCAAGGTGTAACAGTGGGCAGGGATAACATTTAAGGAAAAATGTGAGAGCTGTGAGAGTTGTATGAGACTTAGGGAGTAATGGAAGAAGGGAAGGGAAAGCCCTTTTGCTTGGGACATGCAAAACTGAACTTAGAAAGAAGGAGATGTGTCTCAGAGATTGCAAGGTTGGATCTTTAGATGGTGTTGGCAGTAGATAATTCTGTAAATTTACAGGATTAATCATGTGTAGGTGGGGGTAATCCTGAAGATTTCCTGTGCTGATGTGATCTACACTATCTAGCAAACGGAAACCCTCACCCTCAATTCTATGCCAGAAACACAGGCTTGCGTAGCTATTTTGGACCAGTGTTGCATTTGGGCAGATTAAGTTCTACAAGCAATTCTCTGCCATTTTTTCATTGCTCTGGTTTCTAGTATATGCCATAAATCTGAGAAGTACCTGATTTCTTGGGGAAAACAGATTTTTATTTCCTAAGTCCTTTGGAATTTTGTTCCAAGATAGGAAATGTGAAAGACTGCTTCCTTTAAGAAGTAATCTTTGAAACATCTGAAAATGAATGTATGCATGGCATTCAGCGGGTCAGACCACAGCAGGTTTGTGCCTAGATCCCAGGTGCTGTTGCTATTGCTTTTTCTGATCAGGCTGATAGCCCTAGGTAGGACGAACACCCTGGGCAGGAGAGGAGTGTTGCATACTGATTCATGTGCCAAGTGTTTCCTAATCTCAGAGCAGTTCTGAAAGAGGGCAGAGGCTCTACAGGACCTTTACTGGAAAGTCTCAAACGAGACAGTCTCTCCAGCTACTGAGTTACGTTGTTTAAAGTGATTTAACTTTCTGGTCATGGTCATGCTTCGTCTTGAAGGTCATAGACACCTGGTATCTATCCAGAAAGCCCTGCCCAGTAGTTATGCTCCTGTTGATCCTAGTACAATTATTCTGTGTCCCTGTCAGGTATGAAGAGACCTCTGGAGAGGTCATCTCCTGTTTCAGACTAGACAATTGTCCAAGTTTTACTTCCTAACATGCTGCCAGGCACCTCTTGACTGCCATCTGCAGCAGCAGAAACAGTGCGTTCCCCACGCACCCTGTCTGGGCGCAGTGCAGAAGTAGCTCCCTTGTCTGGGTTATGGTCATGCTTGTCTAGAGCCTTCCTCCAGATAACCACTTGCTGTTTTTCCAGGCTTTTGGTTCTCTTCAGTCACTTCTAATCCAGTTCTTTTTAAGGTGCCTCAGTCTAAGTTTATTGATTATAAATCTACACTCCTGGGATCCTTTGTCCCTCAAATTCTGTTCTGGAGGATTTCCTGCAACACTGTGACTTTTCTTTACTCTGTTATCTGCCCAAATTATCTTTGTGTCATGTGCGTGCTTTTCTTTGCGTAATTTTTCAAATTCATTATTTGCTTTCTAGTCAAAATAAATTATTTCTATTTCATAACAACAGTTTAGCATTTATGTAACAATTCAGGACTTGTCATCTCATATGAGGTGAACTTGCTTGACTGTGTTGTAGTCAGAATACTTTCCTGAATTAGCACTTTGTCAGACGTTTCTGGCACCCAGCCCCACCCCCCGCTCATGTGCTGTCTGCAACCAAGTGACTTGGTTACTGAGGTTAGAGATGAGTGAGCATCAACTTTAACCAGCTGCCCAAGGAAATAGAAAGCTTTTAAAAACTCAGGCCTTGCATTGTAGGGATCCAGTCTGGCCTTGGTCACGTAAACACTTAGAGGAGCTGTTCTCTGTTTCGGAATACTGGCTGCACTGATCCTGGGTTGTGTTTGCACTTTATGCAAATTACTCAGTTTCTTCGTGTCACCATGCAGCTCTCTGAATTGGTGCTAATAGTGATTTTAGCACTCTGAGCATATGCTAACAACCAATGATGTGTGAAGCACTAGTTTTTCTGACTATAGTTTTTATATGAAGTAAGTCTTAAAGTACAGCAATTGTAGGCTGCTGAGAACAGCTCTAGAATGGAGTTCGATAAATGCAGTAGCAGGGATTGGGCTCCTGAGGTGCCTTTCAGCCTTGTGTGTAAAGGTAAAGCCAGCAAATTTAATTCTGTAGGGTCACCATCTCACATTCCAGCACTGAAAAATTTATTGTGTGTAGGTATATAAAAGGGTGGAAAAGAATGGGGAAAGGTATTGAGGAACCTGGAGCTGATTTTTTTCAGAGATGTTGTGTTTCATTTTGTTTTTAGGATGGAGAATCTTTATGTCAACCGTTTCATGCACATGTTCCAGTCTTCCTGGAGTGATTTTGCAGATTTTGAGAGGATCTTTGTCAGAATCAGCAACACAATCTCTGGTGGGTTTATCAGCATTTGCTCATGATTGCATCGTAGAATGACTAATTAGTTGTCGTGAACATATCTGATTAGGATGGAAGTGGCTGACCCATACTTCTGCTCTCCTATGTTTTTTTCATAAATAAACAAACTATAACCTCAGACTGCTGATCACACCAACAGCCCACAAAACCAAAAAGTGAAGCTGTGATCTCACACAAACTAAAATTACTGGGAATTGCTCAGTGACATTCTCTGTCCTGAGCTACACTGGAGGTCCAGACAGCTGGGCATTGTAGTCCCTACTGGCCTTTAGAAACATATTTTCAGATATGTGCAAGTCCTATAGGACAAATTTTCGTAAGTATTTCACATCTAAACCTAGACATAGCTTCGTGGGAGTGCTTTTCAGAGCATATTAGCTGTTAAGGCATTTTTGAAAGTTTGATCATATATCTCCCACTTCAGCCATCTAAATACATGGAAAATCTGCAAAGAGGCATGTTTGGAAATGTTCTCTGCTAAAAGCAAGTACTAGGGTGACCCCTCTGGTCTCTTACACAGACTAGATCAAAGGCTGTTGGCTAACGTCCCAGCCATGTGCTCAGTCCTGGTTGCAGTGCTGCTGACGGTCCCAGCTTCTCATCCCTGTCCCGACACGGGGAGGGTACCACTGCCTCAGTTCTGCTGTTGTAACCTCACCTGTAGCTCCCTTCAGGCAGTTTGCATGGGCCATTTGCATTGGTGACACAGAGCAGCTCAAATGCTTTTCAGTGGCAAATTTTTCCTAGCCGGTCATTTTGACAGAACTTCTTTCAGGCATGAAAGTGCATGCTGTTAGGCCAGCAAGTCTGGGGATGGGTTGCAGAGCTGGGAATGCCCTGGGAGCTGTAACTTCTTCACCTGGTCCTGCTGCAGCCAAGATGGGCTATCAGACCACAAGGAACTGTGGTTCTTACTGGAAATCAGTGCAAGTTAGGCCTGAAAAGGCTTGCAGCATTTATCCAAAATGTCATCTCTCTTCAAAAACATGTCAGAATTAGTTGCGCGTACTGCATTAAATGTCTTGCTGTGCTTGTCATATCATACTCACATCTTCTTACTGGAAGACAAAAATGCCTCTCTCAGAGTGTGAGTTTCACTTTTATATTCAAGGCCATTCAGTTTCTGCAGTATTGTTCATACTGTTAAAAACTCCATTGATGCAGTATTAAGATGTCAAAGACAAAATACATCTTTTCTTTAAGCCTTTTCAATATGGAAATCTTAGCAGTTACATAAAAGAATTACAGATAGACATGGCTTTTGAAGTTCATGGTACCCTTTCTGTAAAGCAGGGCTGGGAAGCCTTTGTTTTGTGAGTCAGAGCCAACCTTCTACTGTCATCCGTGGTTACATTGTTTTACTTTATTTTACTGTATTATTGGATATAATAGATACACAGATACTATAAGCTGGCTAGCATGTGGTTCCTCCAATGTATGTGAATGGCATGTTCAGACTCTGCAAAGGAAAATACTTTTCCCTCCTGCTCTGAAGTTTTGCTCCTCTTCAGGCTGCCTAAGGACCAGTTAACAGAAATAAGAGTAATTTCCGCGGTCTTGGGTATAAAATAAAGCACACAAGCTGGCCAGAGCTATTAAAAACTAATTACAGCAATTTGTTACATTTAATAAGATTGCTTCCTAAAGTACTTTTAACACAGTAATTAGATGTAAACCACAATTAATTTCATTGATAACATTTACATACTCAAGCTCCAATTCTGTGAGTTTTAAACATTAAGCATTGGTCTCAGTTATATTAATACAACTCTGAATCTGCTTATTTGCAAGCGTTGGCAGAAACAGGGCTAATGGAGAAGGAGATTCAAAGCATTTTTCAGTCATGCAGTTTCTGTCCAAGGTGATGAGTCATTTTTTGCTTGGTGTAGACTTCAGATATAGCTCCAGGCTCATTATGCAATTGACAGAGATGATGTAAATGTCAACTTTAAGTAAACTTAACTTTTTTTTGCTGTGTTAGAAAGCATTGTGAGTTTTGAGATTATTTTTTATAATTATCACTGCATTCCTTCAGGCCTATCTTTTTCATCCTTTCACCTTTTGTAGAAAAATAAATTGCTTTCAGAAAAACTTCTGCCTTGTCTGAAAATAGGCAATAGTGGAAAACTTTACTTGCTTCATTTTTCCCCTGAAGATACCATGGGATTTTTCACATTAATCATGTTTTTTCTGACTCTGAATTTGTAGGCTGAGGTAGCGACATGACATTATGAAACATAACACCGCAATTGTGGAAAACATCCAGTAGTACTACATATGTAATAGTAAAGAGATGAAGTACCCAAAACTAACTTTTTATTAAGAAGATATGTTAATCAGGGTTTATATTAGCAATTGAAAAATAAACAGAGGGAAAAACATGTTAAACAAGCAAAACAACGAATGAGCAGTTTTACTGAGTCAAAGTCAAAACCCTTCCCCAGGTGTCCCTCACCCAGCTCCAGCTAAGAGAACTGCTCCAGCCACTGCTGTTTTTTCCCTACCCATGTTGCTCTGTATTTCCCTTCACCTGCCTGTACCATCTTTTTTGGACTCGTCCCTCTGTACTGCATACCCTGAGAATTTGAAGAGTGATATTTAAAAACATCATGGAAGACCTGAGAAGGTGGTCTGCAGATGGAGAGAGCATTTTTCATGGGACTGGAATATTTTACTCCTCATTACCTCTGCCTCTGTACATGGAGAAACAAATTATTATCGATTTAATTCTTCTCAAAGGGAAAAACAGATTACATTGTCCATTTAACTTAAGTGATTTTTCTTAAAATTCTATGGCACCTTTTGAATCCCTTTCTTGCTACTTTCTTTAGTCAAAGTTGCAGTGCACTGTAGCAAAAGGTGGGGAGGAAAGGAGGAATCCTACAATGCAGTAGGATATTGATGCTGCAGGCCTGTTTTTTCTTTAGAATATGTGATGCAGCACTGGAAGGAAGATTTTATGTTTGGCTACCAGTTCCTGAATGGATGCAATCCTGTGCTGATCCAGAGATGCGCAGAGATACCCAAGAAGTTGCCTGTGACTACGGATATGGTAGAATGCAGTCTGGAGAGGAACCTGACCCTGGAGGAGGAAGTGAAGGTACGGTTCCAAGTTAGACTGGACTCCATATGTTCCTTCTCATATCCTGTAACATCCAAACCCTGTTCTAACTGCCTTCAGCCACACCTCCTGTTTTTGGGCTTATGGTTGGTCATGGCAAAGCTGCTTGTCTGTTCAGACTGGCAACACTTCTGTGAACTGTTTTCTCCTACTGTCCTGGAGCTGCAGGCCATGCATTTCTCCAGGTCAAGAGATGTCACTGGGGGGTGAAGGGCCCTTTTTCAGTGGTTTCCTCTGAAAGGTTAGGGATTGCCTCAGAGGGGAAAAGTGCCTCTCCCTTTCCTGGTAGGTCTTATCCTGTTGTCACCCACAGAATTGAACTAACATGCTGAAGGATGGTTGCAAGGGCTGTGCCTTGCTTTTGTTTGTACAACAAGCACAGAGGTCTCTTCAGCTGGCAGCGTGGAACTTGCATCGTAGTGTCACTGCACGAATGCCCAATACATAGGTGCTCTTTGTTGAAAGAGTTGCTGTCAGACTCAGTGGACACAAGGCATGTAGTTTGTGTAAAGATGCTTGCTCTCTCAGTGTTACCATCCCTGAGCCATCATGAGCAAGGGAAGGCCAGCAGCTGCTCGTAATGACAGGGCACAAGCCAGCCTCTGGCCAGGACTTCCCAGCCTTTGTTCCAAGCCTTACTGCTTGCACTCCGTTAAAACACATCATGCTGCTTTTTTTTTTTTTTTTTTTTTTCCTCCCCACCCCCAGCAAGGAAACATTTTCATTGTGGACTACGAGCTTCTGGATGGTGTGGATGCCAATAAAACAGACCCATGCACAATACAGTACCTGGCTGCACCTATCTGTCTGCTGTACAAGAATCTGGAGAATAAAATTGTACCCATTGCAATCCAGGTGGGCTTACTGTCAGGGTCTTTAAAGGGACCCTTTGCTTGTTGTCTCATCTTAAACATGAATGATTTGGGGTTTCCTACTCTTTTTATATCTTTCAGCTTGGTCAAAAGCCTGGGCCAGACAATCCCGTATTCCTTCCTTCAGATGCCACATATGACTGGCTGCTAGCTAAAATTTGGGTTCGCTCATCTGATTTCCATATCCACCAGACAGTGACCCATCTCTTGCGGACACACTTAGTCTCAGAGGTGTTTAGCATAGCTATGTTCCGGCAGCTGCCTGCTGTACATCCCCTCTTCAAGGTTGGTTCTTACCTGAAGGAATGTATGTGGGTCAGGGAGGTTATCACATTAGTTTGACAAACCATAAAGGAGTCCTGGTGATAGCTCAGCTGAGATCGTTTGGCTGACTGCCCTGCAAGTCAATGTACAGCTAAGCCACCAGGTCTTCCAGGACTTCAAACTTTATACCTGGTTGCTGTTGAATTCAATCAGAGAATTTGCCTTCTTTCATTGTTTGTCCTATTTCACAGCTCTTGGTGCCACACATGCGGTTCACAATAGCCATCAATACCAAAGCCCGAGAACAGCTTATCTGTGAATGTGGCCTTTTTGACAAGGTAAGTAATTCCCTTTGCAAATCTTCATTATTCTTCATGGTTCCATATGTGTTTTTATCCTTTAACCATCACATATTGCCTTGTTTCTTGACCTTTCTACTAAAGGGCAAACATAACTAATATTACCTGAGAAACTGGCACACAGAACTGATGCCTTGTTCTGCTAAAAATGTTATCTTTTACTCTAAGTAGCCGATTCAGAACTGGCCAATGTCAGTACTGAGTCAGTATCTCACTTAGCCCAAAGCCACATCAGCTATGAGTATAGGAGTGCAAGGTAACATAATATGCACGTACATCCCTGCACATGTATGCACACAGTTAAGTCCCCAATTTCTTTTAAGTACTCAGTTATTCATCTTGGAGCAGGGTGGTGAGCAAAAGAATTTCTGATTGCAAAAGGAAATTTGCATCAGAGAAAGACGTGTAGATAAGATAGATTTCTAAGCCCACAAATAGTGGGTGTAGATTCCAGCCTGTCTTCTTGAATTGCCATAAACAGCAGATCTGCAGATCTGCTAGGATTAAAACTCAGTTTCATCTGAGTCAGTGAAACATAGCCATATATCATGGACTGCGATGCAGCTCTTAGGTCAAATCTGAACATCTAAATCTGACTGCACTGGTGTTTAACATGTACCCAGCTCTTCTCTCCTTGGCTCCCCCAGAAATGGCATGCTGCATCTAGAAATCACAGCAGGTTGGCATGCAGCTGTCTCTGTGACAACACGTTATCAGCAAATGAGAAGTTTGGGGAGGTTTCAGAAAGTCTTTCAAAGAGGGGTGCTTGTGTTTCAGGACAACTTTATCCCCCTTACACCTCTGACACCAGACCAAAAATAGCTTCTATACTCCAGAGTTTTTCACCCAAGGAGAAAAGAGAGCGTAAACCCAGGCACCTTCCTTGTCTTCTGTAATCCACTGCTGATTGTGGAGACCTGTCAGGCACAGAAGCATAACGTCTGTACCCCATGCATGTGGGATGGATGTGTGGCTAAGATACCCCAGCAGGGATCCTGGAGGTCCAGAATCTGTTGGTTCCTATGTAGATGAACACCCAGCCGGAGGACAGTAAGCATAAGCTGACTACTGCTACAAAACTAGCATCATGTGCTAGAAAAGTATCATTTGGGAACTTTTGTGCAGTGATTATCTGAAGAGTTTTGCACTGCTGCTTGTTGTGGGCATGCTGTGTTTTCTAAATGTAACGTATACTGAAACCCTGGCCAGTCCTCATCAGTAGCCACCCAGCGGGATTGATCTCCTGGCTTAAGTTCCAGGGTGGCTAATGGTAGCCTGCATCCCTAAACACTTTCTCCTAACCTGCTCTGTAGCAGCAGTAGGTGGTTTAGCAAAAGCCCTGTTCTAACACACTCCTGGCTGCCTTCTTTCACACGCATGCTGGTTCTGGAGCACAGGGCTGGCAGGAAGTGCTTTTATATTGCTGTACTTTATTGCTGTACTCCATTATAAGCAGGTGCTGTACCTATGGAGAAAATGTGGATATTAACAGTCATTCATGGAAAAGGTGTGAAATCTCAGAAGTCAAAATGCACAGTTGCAGTAGACCTATGCAGTGCGGTACTTGTTTGTGTGGAGATGTGGTTTTCTCCTTGAAAAACAGATTCACCAGTGTTTTGAATACAATCTCTTGTAAATTTGGAAAGCCAGTCTTGGCACAAAGTGAACATAATCTCCCACTGTTCCTGTCTTGCCATTTTTCCTGCAGGCAAATGCTACAGGTGGAGGAGGACATGTACAAATGGTGCAGAAAGCAATGAAGGATCTGACTTATAGCTCCCTCTGCTTCCCTGAGGAGATCAAAGCTAAAGGGATGGACAGCAAAGAGGATATCCCCTACTACTATTACCGGGATGACGGCATTAAAGTCTGGGAGGCTATAAAGAAGTAAGAGACTGTGGTTCTAGAAATGGCTAATAAAGTCACTGTCACAGAAACACAACTTCATTTTCTCTCTGCTCACTTTGCTCTTCATCACAGCCTTGTGAACAGCACCTGGGCTGTTTAGTCATGTGGTGCCTTTTCCATCTAGCATATCTCATCTGAGGAAAAATATGTAGTCAAGCACACATCTTTGAAAGACTATTAATTCCTACTTTTTTTCAACCCTGTTTTCTTGTGTTCTGTATTTCAGAGGCCCCTTTATAAGTATATACAATTCTATAGGATTTCACAGAATTTAGCCTTGCCAAGGGGATTTAATTAGCTTTTTTTTTTTTTTTTTAGCTATGCACAAACCAAGAGAGAGCCCAGCTCTCTAAGTCAGCTGCGTGACCTCATTAGTTTTTGTGAAGTGGAAATGTAAGCTTGGCTTGCATGTGAGTTGTGTTTTGAAACTCAATAAATTAGGCATTAAATGATTCAAGCAAAACCTTTCTTAAAATGCCTTAAAATTGTCAGGCCCAAGTTTTGTCAGGAAGGGCAGCAACTCTGAGTCAGGAGAGGTACTGAAAGGCTGCTTGACTATACAAATGTGGCTCCTTTTCAGATATGACACACTGCCTTAGAATGGAATGATTCATATGGTTTTTATTCTACAGTGGCATTCCATTTAGCAAACAACATATTTTTGCATGGCATAAGCTGCTTGCTGAATATACAGCTGTTTCTGGTCACGTGGCTTTTGAAAAGCATGTTCATTAAAAATCAGATCTTTTGTGTACCCAAAGTAGGGGGTTTATAATACAAGCGTAATGTTTTAGGTGTTGGGTACATCTTTGTTTCTTGTGTTTTCTCTGTATTTTGGCAAGGGGTTATCTTGCAATATTTCCTGCAATTGTTAGTGCCCATTTGAGAGGAAAGGAAGTTATAACTTTTCTGTGGTTGTTTTCTTGACGTAGTCCGGTTTTTTGTCCCTCTTCTCTTTCCTGTGTTTTCTTTGCTGATTGAGATATGCCTTTTCAAATACCAGATAGTACTTAGTCAACTCAATTTAGTTTGACTGTGGGTGTTAACCTAGCTGGAGGAAGATGTTACACTACCTCAAATTTGACCGAGAGATTTCGTAGGTGAATAATTTGGTTATAAATGGTGTGGGTAGTACCTTTTCAAGTGTGTGCTATCCTGACCCATGAACCCAGGGTCATGCATGTGTGTAGTCACCATGAATCTCCTACACTCTGCAGGGGTGTCAGCCTCCACTCTTTTGATGAAATAACTTCTATTCCCAGCATTGCTTCACACGTGGTGAAGACTTGAGAAAGCTGACAAGGTTGTCCCAGTAGAAACAATGTGGCTCACATGGCGAATTTTTAAACCCCTTCTGTGATACTCAGCTTCTTATTTCTGATCTAACTGCAAATAGATATTGCAACCCAAAGATATTCTAACCCAAAAGGCCTCATCCACACTTCATATACTAGTTAGTATTTACACCGAAGGGGGTCTAAAATACTGTCATTGTGTAACACTTCTGTATGCATTTGGCACAGGTGCCAGGTGATGGAGGCAGAGGTCATGCAGGGCAGCTTTATTGCTGCATGTTGCAGAATTTTTCTTTTCCTTTGGCTTCCTCTGAAGCCAAAATTACTTAAACTCTTGGTGTTTATACAGTTGTTTGTCTGCCTCGATAGCAACTCTTGACTTGGTTGGCTAATAGAAACCAAAACCACACTGACAGATTTGTAAAGGTTTCCAAATTGCAATAAATTTATAGCTTATTAGGGGAGAAATCTGTATTGGGTAACAATTCTTAATCCCATCAGTCAGCTTCTGTAGTCAAACATTTCACCCTATGGGCTGTTGTTAAAATATTTAGCCAGAGATTATAGGTACCTGCAGAGCTAACAGAATACCTCAGCATAGCTCAGTTAACCAGTCATTCAGTCATCAAATGCAAATCTTCTGGAAATCAGGCTTACCTATTTTTACTGCTTTAAGAAGTTTTTATGTTCTCTTAGTATATTAAGAGCCTTTCTTTCTGAGGTGAGTTAGCCTGGGAAGCTTTTATAGAAAGAGATTTTGAGAACAAGAACTGAACAGGGAGATGTCTGCTGTATGCAGTGGTGTAGGTTCTAGACCTCTTCTCCCCAAGAGAAGTTTCTTGGGCCACCCTCGTTTTGAAGTGTGCCACTTGGGTTTTGTGAAAAAGATATGTGGTAGGAGGGGATCAACTATTTGAATGGTATTCAGGAGCAGCTTTGGGGTATCCCACATACAGGGGATGGTGCTGGTGTCACGGTTTGGGACCCCCTGTTCCCAGTGTGAGAGCCATGTGGATATGCCAGAGGGAGTCTGTATTAAGTGAAGAAAAGGATGTAGATGTGATGACAAAGGTCTGAGCAGAAGCAAAACATCAAATAAAAGGATAAAGCACACAGGACTGTTGAGGTCATTCCGTGTGGTTCAGCATCTTTTTGTTGGGGGACGAAGTGATGCTGCAGTCAGAAATGAATCAAAGTTGCCTCTGTGCATTCCCACTGCTTGTGGGAAGGAGGTAGGAGGGTGTTGAGACCTGCTGTTGACCTTATTGCTCTCTACAACTACCTCAAAGTTGTAGAGGTTGTAGTGAGATGGGTGTTGGTCTCTTCTCCCAATTAACTAGCAAAAGGACAAGAGGAAATGGTCTCAAGTTGCGTCAGGGGAGGTTTAGATTAGATATTAGGAAAAGTTTTCTTCACCAAAAGAGTGGTCAGGCATTGGAACAGGCTGCCTAGAGAGGTGGTGGAGTCACCATCCCTGGAGCTGTTCAAAAAACGTGTAGACGTGGCACTTTGGGACATGGTTTAGTAGACATGGTGGTGGTGGGTCTATGGTTGTACTTGGTGGTCTTGGAGTCTTTTCCAACCTTAAGATTCGCTCTTTCCCTGTACAGCATCTGCCTCCTCTGCAAGGTCAGTAGAAGGTCTTCAGGGAATGGCAGGCTTCCTTTCTCCTTTTCATTTTGTCTTGTTCATTTCTTCCTGTGTCTGCAGTTTTGCAGAGGATGTGATTCACATCTACTATGAGAGTGACGAGGTGGTGTGTGAGGACGTGGAGCTACAGGCCTTTGTCAAAGACATTTACGTCTATGGGATGAGAGGTGTGAAGGCCTCAGGTAAGGTGTGATGGCCCAGCCAGGTCTGCAGCTTGTCAAGTCCCTGCTGACAGCAATGCTGCATGCACCGCATGCCTTGAACTGTTGGAGACCCTCTCCCTTCTCGGCCGAAAGATGCTCAGGTTTATGGGTGAGACCCTGGATTAAGCCCGCCCTCCCTCCCTCAGGAGACAGCTCCTTCCTCTGCCACAGATTCTCACCATGAGCTTGGGCAACTCTTGTAATCTCTCTGTACACTGGGGATTGGTCCTTAGATTGTGTCTGCTCGTGCTTTAAGCGCTAGGGGAGGGTCTATCTGTATGTGCTGTTGGAATCGCTAGACAGACTGGTAGAAATCACAAAGAGCAGCGAGACCGCCTTGAATCCTCTCCTCCAAACCTTGCACCAAATAAGAACAAGTAAGAACCCCCTCAAGAGTATCTTGCTGCACTTCACATTTGTTCAGCATCTGTGTTGTCGTTGAGCTGTTCTGTTCTCTTCAAGAGAAGATACTCATAAGTATTTCCAATAAATATTTTCATTTGCTCTGTCTCCTCTCACTGCCTCTCATTTCTTGCAAACAATTACTTGGCTGTGGGAGCTCTCACCCATAACACAGCTCTATTCTCCCACCTGGTTTAACGTTCTTCTGCCTTTCCCTAAACATTTTTTTCCTCTGCTTAAATTTTGTCCAAGCAGGCTTTCAGGGATTTATACAAGTGGGTGGGGATTCTTCATACTGTCCTGACCGATTTACAACTGGAAACACCTGTTGACCAGTGATCTGGGGCAGATGGCTTTGGCATTGCATGCACACGTTTGTGTGTGAGACCTCCAGGCAAAACTGTGATGTTTCCACTTGTTACCAGTATGTGCTGGTGTATAACAGCATCCTGGGCTCTACCTGCCTGGACAAGCAAAGGACATCTAGTTGCTATCATTTTTGTTTGTCTAGTTGTCTCTTAGGAAAAGCTTAGAAATGGGCTGGTAGTAGGAACTTCATGGTTGACCTAAGCATCTTGATATGGGACAAGTACTGAGCCTTTCCAGGGTTACAGCTGGGGTGGGATGCCACAAGCACCACTGGTGGCAGGACTGCCACTACAGGTGGGAAACCTGCCAGGCCTGCAGCATGCTGTCTGCACTGCTGCCACTTCAAGGGCTGGGGCAGAGAGCCGTGGTACTTGGCTGGGCCTGTAAAGAATGGAAGGAGGATATATGGGGGAGGCTGTTGCACGTGGGAGTCCCCTTCCAGTCTCCATTCCTGCCCTGGGAGGGCTGCTCTGAGTGGGAGCATGCTAAGCCCTTTAAAGATGAGCACAGTGTGCTTAGGATAGCAGAACACAGGAGGAGATGGTGCATCCTCTCCTCTTGGGGCTTGGTAGCTGGCCACAGCTACCATGTGCCTCTTTCCCCTCTCTGAGTTCACATGTGCATCAGGTTGCTGGTGGAGATGTGAAGCAGCTGGCACAGGAAGCCTGAGCAGGGACAGCTCACCCCAGATGCTGACAGGTCTCTAGGTATCCTGGGACCTATGGTCACATTGGGCTGGGACAGGGAGTACAGCACAGGACTGTGATGTAGTGGGGATAGGAGAGATAAAGGCTTGGGGGTGCTTTGGTAGCAAAATATTTCCCTAGCCCCTGACTAATCCCTTCTTTCTTTGTATAGCTCCATTTGATTATTCCCCTTCAAAGACGGCTTGATGCAACTATTTCTCTTCCTCATTCTGTTGTTTCTCTTTCAGAAGTTCTCATTTCCTCACTTCCCATTCCAGCAAGTAAGCTCTCCCTGAACTCTGTCTTGCAGTGCACTTGATCGCTGAGCCTCGAACTTTTCTAAATGCAAGCACATGGTCATTTGCTCCTTGGCATGAATCTTTCCTGCTTGCACTGCAGACTGAAGAAAAAGGGAGCATCTGAGGTCCCTGCCCTGTGGACTGTCTGGGTTCCTTGCTGCAGGGTAGGTAGGGTTGAGAGGACAGGGTTACAGTATTTTTTAAAGGTGTCATTATACTTTGCCTTTCCCTTAAGGTATGTCACGTACTTTGCAAACAGTGGTGATTGCCTCACAAACCTGTATGAGGTAAGGCAGGATCACTCTGTTTTTATGACTGGACAGCCAAGACATAGAGAGGTTGAGTAGCTCCTGTTAGACCACACAGCAAGATTCAGAAAGAGAATGCCTTGCCCTTCAGTGACTGCTGCACAGCCCTCTAACTCATGCCTTTTGAGTAGCTGACTACTACTGGGTAACTGGGTAACTTCATAGCTGGGTTACTTAAGCTTTTCTTCTCCCTCGTTTAGGGTTTCCTAAGACGATCAGGACACGAGAGAAGCTAGCAGAATATCTCACAGTGATAATATTCACCACATCAGCCCAGCATGCAGCTGTGAATTTTGGTCAGGTAGGAATTTCTGGGAAGACTGCTGTTCTTTCTGGGCTGGGAGGTGTGAGAAATGTTTTTTAGTAGATATACAGACATTACATTACTCTTTTTGTCAAGGTAACTGCAGACCCATCTGCAAATCCCCATGAAGCCTGGGGAAACTGAAGTATTTTGAAAGCTGAGAAAAGCATTTTGAGTCCTAATTATGTACCAAACCTCAAATGTAGGGCTTCTAACTTGTATATTTTAGTTTTAATGATTTTATTATGGGGAATAATATTTTTAAACATTTAAATGTGTTGCTAAGACCCCTTTCAAAAATGTTGAAGGGTTCAGGTGCACAGTCTAGCTACCATGCTTTCCAGGCATCACCTGAACTTCCTGGATATGATATGCGCTGGTAGTCTGTGGCACATTCTGCAACGAAATGCAATGAGTTATGCTAAGTGGCTTTTCTTTGCATTTGCTGTGAGTGCATGCACGGTGATTACCATGCGTTGCTGTTGTAAGCTGTGCTAACTTGGCAGCGTGCCTGTGCTGAAGCAGCATACATCCCCTTTTCAGATGTGGCTTAGGGAACACGTGCAGCGCAGCTCAGAGCTGTGACTGCAGTTCATGTAGCTGCATACACCATCTGTCTTCGAGTTGGTGCAGCTGGCTATTTCCATCAGTCCAGTCCCAGCAGCACAGCGATCTAGCTGGCCTAACAGAGCATTTACCAAGGGTCCTGAGTTCACTAGTTGAAAGCTGCCTTGCATGTCTGCAGGACCTCTGCTTCTACTTTCTGCAGCAGCACAGACAAGCCTCTACAAGGTAAAGTGTCATTGAAGTCAGTGGGACAGGACTCCAGATCTTCAATGATATCTGGATACTTAACTGCCACTGACATACACAGAAATTTGAAGCAGTGCATCCATGAGGATCTAGGCTTTGGTCATGTATGGTCAAGTTTTCAAAAGCACCAATGTGCTTAACATTCCCAATGCATGGAAAGGGCATGACTGCTCATTTGTTGAGTTTGTGAGCCAATTGGCAACTCTTTGAGCTTCCTCTATGATGTTTAATGTGACATGTACTGATAGCCTGTATTACCCCGTCCACCTTTACTGACATATATCTACTCTGAAACTGTAGTAACAGCTTGCCTTTCAAGTGCTGTTTCTTCCAACATCAAGGCGTTTTGGAAAGCAGACTTCACAGCCAGAAGCAAATCTCTTTGTCAGTCTGTATTGCAGAGTGCTTCTTCGCTGAGTGGGCAGTCAGTCACTCGAACAGGCTCCCCAGGGAAGTGGTCACAGTGCCAAGCCTGTCAGAGTTCAAGGAGTGTCTGGACAATGCTCTTAGTCATATCGTTTAGTTTCAGGTAGTCATGCGAGGAGCAGGGAGTTGGACTCGATGATCCCTATGGGTCCCTTCCAACTTGAGATATTCTATGATTCTGTGAGCTTTTTTTTGGCACATGTTCTGGCTTCAGGCATGGATGATCTCACAGATAAGCAGAGCGACCATCTTTCCTATGGTGATTATTCCCAAACACATCCCACATCACTCTCCATGCTGACCCTCCTGTCCGCCCCTGCAGCTCAGGAGCCCTGGAGCAGGTCTAGAGCCAGGTGTCAAATGAACACACACTCTTCCTGTGCCACATCCATGACCAGGAACCTCTGTGACTATTCACTTCCAACCCGTCATTACAAGTGACTGAGGTATCTCCCAGCCTCCCCCTTAGGAAATCCTGTCTGACAAGTACCGCTAAGGAACCATCTCTTAATATTGCCCAGAATACTAGAGTCTAGCAGAGAGCCTCCAGAGAATGAGAGAGGTAATTTGGCATGCAGAGGATATTCAGCCCATCAGCAAAAGGGTCTTCAGCCATGGGAAAAAAATGGCAGAGAGGGAGGGCTGAGAGTAGGATAAGGGCAGGGGATATGTATGAAGGTTAAAAAGTGCTTGGAAAAGAAAAGGTTATGGTAAGTGCAACATCTCAGATGGTGGCAAAACTCAGGTTCATATCTGAGGCAAAATGAGACATCGCCATCTTACAACATTGAAGCAGGCCAGAAGTGATTCTGAGTTCCCAGTCTGGCACTCACCGCAGCCACATCCACGTGACATATTCCATGAGGCACCAGCATCCTTTGCCTCTCTTACTGCCTGACCACAGTACTGTGGGCATGTTCTTAAAGCAAATTTTGCAGAAAAGAGCAACTGGAGAAAAGGAAATTATATCAACTTTAGGTTTTTTTATCAGAGGTTGCCTCAGATTATCAGAAGAGATCTTTGTTTAATAAGATAGGTAAGTCCTTAGCCTGGCTGGTGAATCTGGGCTGTGTGGCACATGCCTGTGGTTAGCAGCATAACTACTCCCATTTAGACAACACAACTCTCTCCCTTGTGAGATCCTGAGAAAGACAGTAGGGACTTTCTTGTCTCCTTCAGTCCTTCTCTAGAGCATCTCTCTGTCCATTAGTTAGTATCTTCTCTTTCTGAGATACTCATAGTACAGAAGCAAACTCCCTGGTGGCAAGACTCCTGATTTTCTTTGCACTGTTCCTAAAAAACAGGCACTGTAGCTTTTCACCATGCTCTCTTGCTTTGTTGTGCAGTATGACTGGTGTTCCTGGATTCCCAATGCCCCACCAACAATGCGCCGCCCTCCTCCGACAGAAAAGGGGACAGTCACCATTGAACAAATTGTGGAGAGTCTGCCAGACAGGGGACGTTCTTGTTGGCATCTTGGAGCTGTCTGGGCCTTGAGCCAATTCCAGGACAATGAAGTAAGTTGACCTCCCTTCTCGAGGTAGTGAAGATATTGGTGAGACCACAAGGGCCATGGCAAGAGCACACAGACTCACAAGACTGTAGTGCTGCTCTGTGCTTGACTTGACCATGTTTGCCTTTCTGTGGAGATATATCAGTGGTGTGGGTTTGCCCTTGTTTTGCCAGATACAAACCACCTCTGAGTGAGAAGTTGTATTTTTAGTCTGAGGCTGGTTTCAGCCAAAATGAAATTTTCTAGATTCAAGCATGGTGTTGCTGAGTAAGGGTGCTGGTGTGGGAGGAAAAGTTGCAGAGGCACAAGGGTTTTCTCCACTCCTTGCCCTAGCAGTGCTTGTGGAGAAGCTACAGCACCACTGTGTCCCCATGTCCTGTCCCTTTGGAAAATCTGCCCCAGTGCCATATGCACTACAGCTGTGGCTTGTGCCTGGCTGATGTGGAGCAAAACCAAAACAAGCCTACAGGAGGCTTTGCAAACACGGTCTGTAGACGTTTCCCTCATGTAAAATGAGGTTGTAGGTACTTGGTTGTCTCACACAAGGGCTGTGTCTGGAGGATGTGTTTTGAAATCCTTAAATGGAATATGATGGACAGAGGCTAGTTCAAATAAAGTTTCTCCTTAAGAGGAAAGCAGATTTGAGCTGAGAAGCTAGTAAGCATGGGTAGTATAATGGGAAATAGTTACCTAAAGCAGGTAATATGCCAGTATGCATGTTGGCAATGTGGTTGGTATTCAGGGCACCTGTAGAGTCCAAGCTGACTAAAGCAACCAACAGGTTGAACTTTGAAGAACAGTTTTAAGTCAACAGAAATTTCCACTGTCACTGAAAGAAGCAATTGTCTTTGTTTTTCATCCCTGGCTGTTAATTCCCCTCCCATGCTGTTCTTTTCTTTAGCAGTGCAAATGTTTAAGTGGCCACACAGAGATCTGGCTTGGGAAGCTGATCTGGCTGACCACTAGCCTGAATAAAAGTGCTTATTTTTCAGTGGATCAGCTCCCTGCAGGTGGAGGAAGTGCCATGTAGACACCTGAACCAGCACTACAGAAAGATGCAGGGATGCAAAGAAGCAGCCAGCGGTGGAGGGAGGATGGCACAGCGTCTTTCATTGGCAGTGCAAATGTAGGCTAGCTGAAATATTGATAGTACTATTTTAATAGTAGCATTTGTGAGGCTCTAGGTGTTGTTCTGCTGAACGACATAATGTTGAAACAGAATAGCTTTTGTTTTCTCAAAGTATGATTTCTTGGTGTTTTTCAATTAGCTGTTTCTGGGCACATACCCAGATGAACACTTTGTGGAGAAACCGGTGAAAGAGGCTATGGCAACATTCCGCAAGAATCTGGATGAGATTGTCAACACCATCACTGAGCGCAACAAGAACAAAAAGCTCCCTTACTACTACCTTTCCCCAGATCGCATTCCCAACAGCGTTGCTGTGTGAGCAGATAACAGGAGAGTTTGGAGGCATGTAAAGCTAATGATCCTTTCCTGTTACAGATGCTTCTTTACAATGAACTTTCAGAAATGGATGAAATAAGAAACCCACCCTCTCCATTAGAGCTGACCCATACTCTATTCGGACCTTCAAAACAAATCGAATCATGACTGATCTTGCAAACAAAGTCTAGTTGACAACCCTCTAGGTCAAATTTGTTAAAAGTTTGTTTTTCCAAGATTTTTTCAATTAATCTTAAAATCGGTATTCATGTTTCTGTTAGCTTTTCCTCTCCTGGTGAAAACAAAATAATCACAGATTCACTTATCTTATTCAATGAAAATAGTATCATAAGCAATAAGCAAGTCACATCTTTAAAATCCTTCCTATTTTTAGTAGGTGACACTGATGACATATAAAAATATAATCTTTAAAGTTTATGCATTGTTTTTAATCTGATTAAAACAAATGTTAAATATTTTCACTACAACTGTGAATGTCCTAATCAGGATGCATCATAGAATGGTTTGGGTTGTAAGCGGCCTTAAAGATCATCTAGTTCCACATTTTCTTAACATAGCTGATGGATTTTATCACTTTCTTACCAAGCTCATGTGAAATGAGATAGCCTGATTCACAGGAGAAGAAAATTTTCTACCTAGATAAACCTATATATTTTCTACATAAAGCTGAAAAGGTTTGTTTTAGCCTCTACCAGCAGACTTTGATGTCATTCATATGTACAAACAATTGTTTTGCTTAGCACAATGGCAACACATACAGACCTAGCAGTGCTTATGCTCAATTTCTGTTTCATTGCTGAGGCTGCTAGTTTCTTCTGTTTTGTGGGTGATGAAGAGGCTACTTTGTATAATGATAAAAGTTGTGGAGAAGGGTTAAATTGGTGTTCCACCTTAGTTAGAAACAACTGAGTTTTGCCTCTTGTTTAGAGGTGATTAGGTTCAAGTACTTGGGCTTTGGTTAAAGTTGAGAGAGTCACTGAGATAATGTAAGCAAAAATGAGGTTTGGGAAATTTAAGACTCGTAGTTTTGTTAATAACAATTTTTGTTTATTTTTCGCCGAATTTGTTCCTTGTACTGGCTTTGGCCAGCCTGCAGTGTGTTTCCTCAATAGATAAGAAAGCTTCTTAATAAAACAAAACTGAATAAGAACATCTAGCTTTTGTTTCTTAACTTAATATCTAATGCCGTATGTCTCAAAAACCTGGTAGGAATAAGCACAATGTGCTGTGTAGAGAAATGAAGCTCCTGCACTTTGAGAAATATAGTTATTTCTATCATTCATGTGTTATTTGGAAAAGGGTACTACTTAAATATACATCCTTTCTGTTTCATATGAAACATGGGCATGGAAACTGATTTTAGACCCTTCACAGCAGACTGATTCCCTTTTTCTCCCCCCAGCTAAAGAGTTTCAGCAAAAATGTGGAAGGTAAGACCGCTTCCTGTTATTGAGGAAGTACATTTAAGACTTGTGCGTCTTCCTTTTACTGCAACCCATGAGAAGTGATGACTGTAGGAGCTGAGGCATGAACTGTGTAGTGACACTGGAGTGGGACCAGGAGATCAGAGACCATAATAGGTGAGGGAGGGAACAAAACCGGCGCAACTTAAATGCAAAAGGCAAAAAATGCAACAAGCTGATGCAATATATCCAACATGCCAGCTCTAAATCTTGTCCTTCCCCTGTGTAAAGCCCATGTCCTGTTGCCTCAGCTTTCATATGGTAATGGTCTGCATAGACAAGTATCTGTCTAGAAAACAAAACATAGGAAGAGAGGCTGATAGCTGTTCTCTTGCATCTGTTCCCTTTGCTTTAGCCTGTGGACCTAGAATACACATAGGGTTGATGGGAGGTTTGGGGAATTGGCTGTGCAGTTTTGAAGGCTGATATTAGCAATCTGATTCAACTGCAGCAGAGGCTGTGGAATCCAATTGCAGTGATTCTCAATTGACTAGAAGGTTGAACTGGGAGACAGCCCATTCAGAAAGTCCTGGCAGTAACTTGGGAGGCTCTGGCATCTCAGCCCTTCCTCTTGGCATTTGGTCACAGGAGAGGACACTCCAGCTGTAAAACACCATTAGTGCTAGTGAGAAATAAACTGGGAAGAGTTGTCCTAAAGGACTGTCACAAATACTGGAGAGAGACTAATATTTTCTCCCCAAGCAGATTCAAAAAATTCTCTCCTTAAGGAGAAAAGGAAGCCTTGAGGGTTCATCGGTGACAGTGAGGATTTAGCCCTCTGCAGTCAGCCCAGCTATCATCACTGACCTCCCATGCTTTCCTCTCTTTGCAGGGTGAGTTTACCACTGTAAACTCCTATTGGGACATTCCCTTTCCCAACCCCCAAATATCCCTTGCAATAGTATCACTCACTGCCCCTGGAAACAGAGGACACACACTTCATAGTCATCCCATATGAAGTAAGCTACCCATTTTTTTTGCAGTCAATCCCCATTCTACAGGTGTGGAAACAGAACAAGAGCAATGAAATCCAGCAGATCAGCTCTGATTTGAGATGCTTCCTTTATAGAAAGATTGTGAGAAAGTTGTTGACCTGCAACACGTTGATTTCTCTCTGCTAGAGAGCAGACAACACGTTCAGGCTTGGCCACTCAGAATTATTTGCTCTGTTCCATGTAGGGCAGAACATGGAATAGAGTCCAGACCTGTTTCTAACTAGCAAGTTTTAATCAGCAACTGAGCTTTCCTGCCACAGTAGTAGCTACATAGTATCTAGGAAGTAATTGCACACACTGAGGTAGTAGCACAAAGTGCTTAGCTTTATTTGTACTATAAACAGGAATAAATATTGCACAACCAGACATGGTAGAGGTTTACTGAGTCATGGGTTTTTTTACAGCCAGGAGACCTGGCTATGATTGCTTAGACTGATCTCCGCATAACAAGGTCTTTGGATTTCCCTGAAGCATTTACCTCTTAAAGTTCAATAGAGGGGTGCTTGATCTAGGAAACTATCTTCTGCAGAAACATCACTCACGATTTACCGATGTACACTGTTCACCCTGGGTGCTCGAGCCGCTTGTCTCGCTGGTGAATCCATTTTGCCGTGAAATAATGTGCTGTATTTCTAGTTCTGTGTGCACTCAGGTTTTGCTTCTTGCAACAGACAGCTTCTTGCAGTAGCTTTGTGTGACTGAAGATCCTTCTCTGACCAGTTCCCTACTACATCCTTCCCCTTTCTTTTGGTAAACTGAGTAGATTCATTTCCTGGAGCCTTTTGCTGTAAAACTTTCTTTAAATCTCTTATCCATTACCACTGTGCGTACAGCATGTGGGCAGTTGACAACAGCCATGATTCAATGGCTATTTCAGTCATTATTTCATAGGCTGCATTTCCTCCTGCTTGCAACTATATGTCTGCAGTTTGTCCATAGATTTAGGTCTCTGACTTGTAAAATCAAAACAACAGGTGGTTTGCTTGCAACCAGCAGCTCAAGAGATCTAGACTGGATACATGTCTCATCCACTGGCCCAGCCTTACTAGTTCCAGTTACTGGAGGACACTGGGGTGTTTCTGTGGTTTATCAGCAACCTCTTCACTGCACTGCTTTGACATTCAAATTCAGCTGCTGTTGCCTCCCCAAGTCTGTTTTCTCCACTAAACGGATAGGTGGTAGGAAGCAAGTTTGAACATTGCAGCTGACACAAGCAGTGGCCTCCCTCGGCAGAGAGCATGGGGAAGCAGGATGGGCACATCCAGGAAGCCTTGTCTCCAGGATCCTGCCAGGGGCGGAGACACAGGCACTCAAGCAGGTGCTGCCATCACTGGTGCACCCAGCATACAGGGGGAGGCAGGCACTGGCTGCTTACCCACTTGTCTTAATTCACATACACACAGGTACATGCATACAGGGATACAAATCTATCATAAGGACACAGGCAGGTGACATGACTGAAAGTGCAGATAATGGGGTAAACCATCACATACATGAGGAATGTCAGGTCAGAAGAAAGTTGTCACCTGTGTTTGGGTTTTGGCTGGAGAGCAGAGTCTAAAAGACTTAATAAAAGGTTAGCCAGGCCTTTTCATGACTGTGAGAAATTACTGCCATCTCAAAAGGAGGTGTCTACTGTCCTAGTAGATATCACAGAATACATGTCAACTATACAGACAGAGGGAAAATGTAGTCTATAGAGATTTATCCATAACCACTCAGAAAATTAGAGGCCAAACTCAGAAAAACAAGGGTGTCAGTTCTGTGATCTGACCACAAGTCCTGAATTTCCTTCCCTTACTGCTAGAGTTTCCTTGCAAAGCAAAAGCTGATACTGGAGTTGTCCAGATAAATGGATAAAATAATGGATAAGATGCTGATTGTCTTCAGCAATGGTAGGAGAGAAGAGCTTTACCAGTTGAAGAATTAAATTCCAGTCTGAATATGCCTTTATCTGGCAAACACTGGGAAGGTTAATTGTCCTATACAGTGAGACAGGGATGCTGAAGAAGGTGTTGCTTCTTCTGACAGATCTCCTCAGAGACTGGAGATGCACAGTTTTCATTTCTGTGAGCTGAGTTCTAACACAACAATTTTTTTTTTTTTTAATTGAATGGATATGCAAGAAATTGCTTCAGAAGGGCAAGGGGGAAAGGTAGCTGAAGTAGTAGTTTTGAGCTGCTTCTCACAGACCTGTGCTATCACTTCTAAAATCAGAAGCAAGAGAGTGGTGTAAATGTTTGTTCTTTTGTGGGTTTGTGTTTGGTTTTTTGTTTGTTTTTTTTTAAGCAGATGTCAGTAGAGATTATTTTGCACATAGTTTATTTTAATGAGCTTTCTTTAGCCACAGAACAAGCACAGCAAAGGCAGAGGTATGTGAAGCATATTTTGGAGACCATGAGGGATGTTCTAATTGCTGACCGGAAGTTATCATTGAGGTCAGAAGATAATTTAATATCTATGATAATTTAATATCTATAATATATTAAAGTATCCCTGTACCATGTCAGTTTTAGAGTCAAAAGCAATTTTAGGTGTTGTGGATCATTGGCTATTGCCACCTTATCTTCAGCAACTACCAGTCTCTTGATGAAAGCCTTTGCCTCAGGATACAGTACAGGGAAGGTAGAAGATCTATTTGTTGATAGTCTGTTGATACTGGGAACAAAAATGGGCAAAATTCTAGGGGTGCTCTGAATTGATACAGCTAATTTGAAATAATTGATGGCTATATGGATTTATACCC